ATATACACTAGTCTAATCCTTTTTGCGTTCTACATCTCAGAATACCTCCAAATTGCCCAGATTCTCTTGCATGGGATGGGTGATCTCGTCTCCCGATTTACCCCACTTCTAATCATATGCCTGCAAAATACCCTTAAAAATAATAAGGGGGAGTGTCAGAGCGCCGTAGTATGATGAATTAGAGAGGCTGAATAATCCATACAAAAATTAATCATACTTTTACCACATTCAATCTCCTTAATTGTAGGCCTGATATGGGGGCTCGAGCATGGCTGATACACACCTCTTCACCAGCGCGAAACCCTTTTATCCTAGGACTTGAGTAGGCCTACTTACCTACGTACTATAGGCCTAGATGCAACGCCTCCGAATTCACTCATGGTTGTTAGGTCGTAGATTGTACATTAAAATTACAAAATTATTATTAATAATAATCATAATATACACATCGATTCCTTTGCTATATTAACTGCCACTCAGCTTTTCCTAGATATTTGTGAATCCAATTTTGTAGGCCCACTGACCCAGGAACGTTTACTCCGAAATGATAGGTGCCTGGATGTATTGGAACTGGCTATGTACTAAGCCGATTTATGATATGAATACAGACCGCATCCGTCGCAGACTGGTATACAAACAATGCCTGCTGATTGGTTGGTTTTCTCGGAAAACGAACTGTTCTGACTAAAGCGATATTTCGGAGTATTGGACAATCATTTATTTGATATTAAATAATAGAATAGTATAAAAATATGAAATAACTCATATATTTATCATTTTCAGGTACCATACCATCAAATACATACCGCTTCGTTGAAATATTCTTTAAAAAAGGAGTGTTTATCGTGGCGGTGGTTCAGTTAGCCGTATTCTGCTACGAAAGCCATCGTATTGAGGGCGTTGTTCTGGTTCATCGAAACCGAAACCAGGGAAATCCATAAATGTATTTCCGGATAACGAGCTATGTTTGCAATAGCATTCCTCGTTTCCAGTGAATTACGACATAGCCAGGGGTTTATAATGAAACCGGCTAATCGAGCTTCGCTGCAGTAGTGTTTACTGAAGCGCGTTTCGTACAACATTTGAAAGTCAGACGTCGTACAGGTAGGAGCATTTCCCATTTCTGCTGAGGTATCGTTTTGCTGTCACGATGAAAATCAAACGACGACTTTATAAGGTAGGCGTTTACAATTATTCGCATTTAAACAGGCATAAATGGCAACATTTTTTGCTTTTACTTTTAATTTTCATTAAGTTTTTGTTTTATTTTGTTTTATCGTTTAAGCTCTCACCACCCAAATAGTTATTTTTGCTCGTCTTCGTGATCGCATTTAATAAAACATCCGTTTGGTCACTAAGTCCTAATGACATTAATAATAATTACTTATTTTGTTTTGTAATTAAGGCTTGCGCCACCCATATAGTTATTTTTTGCTCGTATTCGTGATCACATTAGTAAAAACACTCCTTTGGTCACTAAGTCCTAATGACAATAATAATAATAATAATTACTATTTTTTGGAGTAAAATAAATCCAGATTCAATCTTACGTCATTTAAAATTATTTTCATATTTTTGATTACGTAAGTAAACAATTCATTTAGCCATGAAATTAAAGCTTACTTCATGTAACATCATCTCTATCGTTAAACATGGTACCATCTTGAGCAAAAAATGCAGAAATAAAATCACTATTCCGATTGCTAATTTTGCATACGTACATTAATTTTGCTTCGTTTACTGTATAAATAAACCAGTTCTACAGATATTTAAATTGGTTGGGAATAACATGGTCTGTTAAGGCATGTAAATCAGAAAAAAAACCCAAAAAACACGATCTGTTTATACCGATTTAGGCCTAATCCATTAAATTAGCTGTTAAATGTTTATATAAATTTTTGAGGGTTTCTTTTGTAATAAATTAGAAAATAGGCCTATATTTTGTAATTGTGTCACCCCTGCAGCCTAATTTTTGCTGCTATCTGAGATTGAGGAGAAATACTTTAATCGTGATAAATTGAGGCCTGGTATAATTAGCTTATTTAATCTAGACATCAACCCGCTAATCATTAATTAATTCATTCATTCATTTATTCATTCATATATGCCTATTCATATATTATTCATACATTTGATTTGATACTTTATCAAAGCCAGGCTCCAGATACAGTACCGGTATGTTGTACAACTGATTTTCATGACACACCAAAGGGTGTTTGACGAAAAACCTGTAAACGGTTAATGAGATACAGATTTTTTTAATAGGGCCTATTAAAAACTTGGGGAAAGGGGGCTTAACCACATTTTCACTACAGCTTTTTAAATTATTATTATTTTATTAAAAAATGGATTCAATGGTACGTCACCAGGTACTATATACACTGTGGTCTATCCCCGAATAGAAAATCATTTATTGTAATTTAAAAAAAAATTCAATTCAATTCAATTTAATTCAATTTATTCAACATATACCCCAGGCTGAGAGAAGGTAAAAATATATAAAATACAATAAAACTTTACAATACAAAATTAATCAAAAGAAACCCGCATCCATTATACAAAAACCCAAAGGTACGGGAATTTAAAATGCTCTAATTAAATTAATGATTGTATGAATATCGTTATAGTATAAGCAATTCTTTACACTGTCACAGACGCAATTGTGATTCTTTATATCAGCCTTTAAACGTTTCTTGTATGCATTAATAAATATAACAGAAACAAAGGATACATTTCTATCGATATTACCATTGATTCTGTCAATGTGAGTACTTTTATCGACATAATATTCTTTGCTTAACAATTAACATGGTAATAGAATACCCAAGAGTAGAGAATCATTAACAATAAAGACTTTGATGGCTGATTAAATTTGTCACTGATTGGGTGATTTCAGAGAGCTATTCACAGTCTCAAATTTCGTGTGACAATTGAATGCAATATGCCCATATTTAGGTGTAATTATGACATTATTATGACGTCATTATGCCATACCGCGTAAAACCTCGAATAGAAGCTCCATGGGCTTAATCTCGGAAAGAAGCCGTCCTCTTCAGTTTTCAAAAGTACGGTAATCTCGAAAAGAAGCCAATCTGGAAAAAGAAGCCCATGGGCTTCTATTCAAAATAATATGGGTTTTTTTTGGTTCGCGTATTTGCATTACCTTTGATGATTATGATAACGTGTCAGTAATAGTATTTTATTGTATTGGCATGGTTAACATTTTTTTAACAGGCTTATTAAAGAGTAGCAGTTATAAAATGTACAGCATTCATTTTGAAAAGAAGCCCCTTTTTCAGTTTGCAAAAAGTAATCTCGAAAAGAAGCCCATCTCGAAAAGAGCCACATCTAAAAAAAGAAGGCCGTCCAAGGGTCCATAAATTACAAGAGGCCCAGGGCTTCTATTCGAGGTTTTACGGTATATCGGTTAGTTGCCTGTATAGAACTGTTCCTTGCAGCTACAAAGCTCTGCAAGTATTTTCCCCATTCGGTCCACATGCTAAAGTGTTGCTGCCATATTGGCGCAGTCAGGCAACCCCACTAGGAACCGTACCCATTTATACTCCTGGGTGGAGAGAAGCAACGCAAAAAAAATAATGCCTTGCTCAAGGAAAACACAAACTGTCACTCAATTTTGTCAAAGAAAAATTTGTAGTGTAGATGAAGCTCAAGAGTTTTGTCAGTATTGTATTGTAGGCCTATTCAAATAATTATAATTTATTTCCCCACTACAACGCACTAAACAGGACTAGTTCATGAGTTCCCCTCATAAAAAAAAAATATACAGCAAATGTATTACGTTTGTCAGTACATTCGGAATAACCATTAAAATGATTATTTTATTGGTCCGTTGTTTTGTACGATAAAAAGCGTTTGATGAATGAGTTCATGAGTACAATAATACTTTGAATAATAATACAGGTTTCCCTCCAATGAAAGGCCCTCCAATTAAGGACCACCTCCAATTAAAGACCACTATTCTGTTGTCCCAAATTAACAAATTTCTTCATTTATTCTAATGAGAGATCAAAGCTGCTAAATACCACGGAAACCCTTGTCCCAAAAGTGGTCTTTAATCGGAGGGAGACCTATAGCCTATAATAATTTATACTGGCACTTCAATCAATCAGAATTTGTATAAGCGCCAGTATCCACGGCCGGCAGAATGCAATGTTCAGTGGCGCTATGACAACTCTAATTGCATATTCCTTTTACTTTTTGTTATAATGCAAGACTACTTTTTTTTTTAAAATTCCAAATAAATTAATTTTTGCGCGCCTCTGAATAGTTACCTGGTACAGCTGTACATTGAGTTTATGTTTTAGGGGCATTTGCTCCACTAGTGCCCTTGATTAAAACCTTCCCCCGTCGGACTTGAATGGTGATTGACTTCGTGTCAAATTATCAGTAAACCGAATGTTAGCGTTATCTTAGGTTTGAAATTATCCGTATACAATGTTTAGAAATCGAAGAAATGCATCTACAACATTAACTAGATGAAATACTGTATCTTACTCTTGGTATTGCTTTATATGGAATTTAATTTGTCCTTTTATTAACACCTTTGATAAAATGTTGTTCATTGATGCTTAAAATAAGATTTTACCAAATCAATGTGACAGCTGTCCTGGAATTGATTATTTCTTAACCTGTTTAAAAAAAAACAAAAGCTACTGATATTAATAACAGGTAGGCTAATGTTCGGCTTTCACACCATTTTAACAATAAAGCTGAAGTGCAGTGTCTGCAACCATGAGCAAAGAAACGCAACTTCACCTGCAGTATATAGTTTAACCATTATTGATTACTTGATTTACACTCTTAAGAGGAGTTGGAAAAGATGCATTTCACACAAACCAGTGCATTCTATGGTACGTCATCCCACAAGGTATGCCTACTAATAATACAGTGACAGGGGTAATGGGGAGCAAAGGTGAAGTGGTGGGTGGGGTGAATTGATGAGTGGGCGCTGGCTAAAAAAAATGAGGTAATGTGAGTTACGGTAATTCTCAACTATTTGAGTAGTTGAGAATTTTTTGCTTCGAACCTTTCCAGTGGGGGAGGGGGGTTGTCAACAGCAAGCATTCCCTAGATACTGTATCTATACTCCTGGTTAGGCCTGAGAAAAAAAAAAGCAAACGTTAATAATAAAGTGTGTTGACCAAAAACTGCAGCGATTGGAAGCTCGCAATTATTGAACCCCGACATCAAGCTTTAAGGCCCAAACACAAC